CTGAAAGCTCAAAGATACTTCTGAATAAGGTGGCGAAAGGCGGAAATGTAATTTACGTTTTCGATATTTATATCATTTTTATAGGAGCGCAAATACGATCCTTAAGACGGTTGGGACCTCAGATTCATCCATACATCTTTTCGTTGGATAACAATAATTCATCACATGTTATGTTGCTTTCCATTATACTATGTTTTACTTTCACGTACTCATATCTGTGTTACATGCATGCATGGCATTCCAAACAAATCGGTCGAATATACTGCAAATATGTAATGGAAAGGGAGATGAAAGGAAAAGAATTTGCTAGAATTTTATTGCTCTCTGAGTTTACATGTACATTGGTCAATAAGAATGATGAAAAAGCTAAGAATTCTAGGTTCAGCAGATCAGTGTTCTTGCAGATGGAACCGAAACTGGTATCAGATTCTGTGGTCTCAGATCCTGTGTGGAAGATTTTCGGGTTTTTTCAGGCATGCACTTAGCATGAACTATGGGACCTAACTTTGATACATTGATGCCAGTTCTTGTCCCTCCCTGGTTATCATCGTGCTTGTGTAAGTACACAGCTCCCTTGTACATCCATTCATCGGCGTCATCGCTAAAGAAATCTTCGAACGGCTCCTCGCATAAAGCGCATGTCTTCTGATCGTCATCTGCAGGAACGACGAATTCCTCGTCATCATTCTTCCGGGTTTCTTTTTCCGAATCGAACAATTCTGCAACCGCTTGATCGTCGAGTTGCTCTCCAGTTGCTGCGCTGAGCCATAACCCCGTACTGGCAAACCACTTACGAGACTTGTTGTTCAGTGTCGGAATCTTTCTTGGATTCTTGCTGGTGTCTTTGGCCATCCTGTTCTTCCTGACATGCCAATCCATGTGGTTCCTGTGTTCTTCTTGGCATCTGAATCTTTGCCCACATGAACTGCACTGCCTTGGGAGATCAGAATACAGAGACTTTATGACAGATTCATGTCTAACTCTAAGTAACGACATGTCGAACTCTGTTCCCAAAATGCCATCTTGGATTCCAGCGTTCTGTTTCGACACATCATTCGGAGGAACAAGACCGCTGTTCTTGAAGTTTCTTACCAAATCTGATGAGCCATTGCCCATCAAAGGTTGCTTTGAATTGGGCATTACGAGTGGTAGAAGCGAACCTGAATTTGCGCCATTAGAGGGCGCAGAGACATATCTAATGAAATCGCGAGATCGAGCAGGAAAATTGTTAAAAGTCACACTCGGCGCAAGCCCGTTTCGGATCTGAGATGTGGGTTCGTTCGGATTCCACTCAGGCAACGAGTCCAACGACACATCGTTGTGTACTTGTCGTGGCAACGAATTCGAATTACAGCTTCCATAACCAGACAGGTATTGATGATTGTGGTTAGTCAAAGGTTGCGATGATACGAACAAGGGCATAGACGTATCGTTGTTAGGTAGAGCAGGAGAGAAACGATTTGGTACAACGTTGTTACTTACATTAGAAGAACCCAAACCACGAACATAAGAACCCGACATGGGAAAGACCTGAGAACCATATGAACCAGAAACCCTAGGTATGCTACTACGATGATACAGAGGAAGATTGTTAGGGTTTGCCGATGGAAACTGCGATGGCGTTTGCGCTCTCGCCCGCTTCTGGTGAGGGTAACCCTGGAAGCCTCCCACGCGACTGCGATCGTCCCATCGTCTCTTCAAATCGGCGTTCCCGCTCCGTTGAGGGCGAGTGTTCGCAAAGAACATGTTCGACGACATCTTCTTCGTTCCTCGATCGATGCTTTCTCGCTCAATTGAACCAGATTACAGCTTTTATCGTTGAACACAGCACAGAATAATCGATCAGAGAGAACCCTAAATCGCTGGAACTGGATTCTTTTCTTGTTCTTGCGGGAGAAGAAAAGAGGGAGTTCTTGAAGAGATGGGGAAGAAAAGTAAACTGATGCGAAGAGAGAAAGGCATGTAAGGTATATATAGAAAACTATGTCGGTTTGAAAGGAAGGTTCCGCGTTGCGTCATAAACGCGTGCTTAAGACACGTGCTGAAATTTTAAATTGTGTTAAGCCCAAATAGATATTGGGCCTTGTAACTGGCCCATTTACTTTTAAAATCGGGAGTTTTTAAGAATAAAATAAATAACAACTGGCCCACTAACTATTGAGCCTTTTTGGGGTTTGTAACACAAACTTCCATTGCCTCGGTCGGTTCTAGTGCAAAGGAATGATTTCGCATCAATGTATCAAAGATGGAAACGTACATGTACATAAACAGATACGAGAGCCATCAGATGATGGCAAGAATATGACAACATGGCTAGACCAGAAGATAAAAATGAAACTAAAGTCAGATAATCAATCAAGTTTTTCTCCATGGACCACCAAAGAGAAATGGAGGGGGGAAAAAAAATCAACACTGCACTCTGCAGCTTCTTCCTCCTCTAGAGCTTCTTCAGCTTCTGACCTCTCAAACCGTTCCAAAACGCTGCAGCGTTGACCACCTTCTTCCCCGGAAGCTGAACTTCCAATACCTGAACCAAGCCGGTGGATTTTAAGCATACTCAAATGCAAAACCACGGGTTATTCCCTCGAAAGACGAGACCAAACATTAGCCCGATTTGCTTCAATTTCATATGCTGTTTGAGATTACATAGTGGCCCTTTGCATTAATGAGTGAAAACGTGTGACTGGCCGATTTTGGAGCCTGTGATCGGTTTAATGGATGGATTACCCCGACATATATATTCTAAATACTCGAGTATGTATGTACTATGTAAAAGTTTCCATGCATGTGTGTGCGTGTATATATACCTCCAAAGCCGTGTGTCCTCTACAGGGAAAGACCAAAGAATCTTCATTGAAAGCTACGTAATCCTGTTCATCATCCTGAATTAAAACATCTTGGCATACACGAGTTGTGATGATCTTAAGCTCTAGGATGTTCTGTTGATTGCTTTTGTCATCGAGGACTTCAACTTTGGCTCGTGTTCCTGGCCATCCTGCAAAAGCACGGACCTAGGAAGCGGTTGTATGTTAGTGCTCATGGTAGGACTCGTTGTGAGAAAAAGAAGGATTTTACCTTGTTATGAAGAACAACAGCTTCTTGGTCAAAGGAAAGCCATGCCTCTTCTGGAGCTATCTGTGCACATCAGCTGGGAAGTTTTCAGTCGGACAATAAACAGAAACATGAAATATTTGCAATGATTAATCAGGATCATCCAACAGATATTTAAACTTTTCACATTCATTTTCAGTAAAAGGAACCGGATTTTCAACTAAAAGCCCCTTTACAAGTTCTGAATTATGTAACATATCAGTTCGAAGAAAAATATCAAGAATATGACTTTGAATGTCAGTTTGTTGATGGTGTCATAAGATTATTGACAAGTACCTTTGGGGCTAAGGTGGCTTTAGAATCATCCTGGGCAATAGCATTCGTTTTTGCTGACCCGTCGAATAGTGATGGAAGTCCATTGATAAGAAGCTTAGATCCTGTGTAGTTTACCATGGATAAGCAGAAAGAGAAGATATAACTGAAATAGAGATTGGTAACAACACTCAAGCAGCACACTGTATGATATGCTCATGACAGATACATAGGCGGAGGATATATAAGGAAGACAATAGATGTGATAAAAAATACTTTGATATATTACCTTCAGAAAATAGGAAAGAGAGTAGTTCTGGTGCCTGCATATGATTCAGTTGACCATTACTCGTCAAGGTCTAGAAAATCAGATAAGACAATCAACTGCATCGGTTTGGATGGGAATTCATACCTTGATTTGGTCATCCACTTGGAATCTTTCAGAGGCAATAACCGGTCCGGCATCTAGCTTCCGTACAGTAAATGCTAATGATACTCCAGTTTCTTTTACACCATCCTACCACAGAAACCGAGTTATTGACCATTGTGTCAACCATCATGAATTATATAGTCTTAGCTTATGATAAACGTAAAATCTATAAATAGGGAAAGGGGAGAAAATAAACAAGAGAGAATGCAAAAAAAAATAACCTGAAGCGCTCTTTGCACAGGGGCAGCACCACGGTAGAGCGGCAACAAACTCGGGTGGATGTTCACTGTCCCTAATATAATAGAATTCCACATCGAAACCTCAATTCTAGAAATAATCCTTCAAAGAATTAAGGAGACACCCTCCATCCATGGAGCATCCAGAATACTCAATCGAGCAGACAAGGCATTTCTACTAACCAAGTGATGGAATTTTAAGGAACTTGGTAGGTAAAATATTCCCATAGGCAGCTGTAATGCAAAGCTCGGGCTGCAAATCTCTTAAAGCAGACAAGAATGAATCCTGCACACAAAAAAAGACACGAAACTGCACTCACCATCCGAAGATTAACATTGGTCCACTGTGTTCAGTATTCATGTTTCCACCAATGTCGACAATGCAGTGTCGCTGTCATCTTTACAAGATAGATTATAGGATAAGTATGAACTTAGAATTTCACATCTTTCAAAGAGAAAGATCTTGAAATGAACAAGAAACTTACCTCTCCCGCCTTTTCGGGGGAGAAAATGAGATCAGAAGGAAAGCCTTTGTCGAGAGCAAATTGTGCTACAGGGGAAGGCAAGACTTTTCTGCCCCTATCTCTCCTTGCCGGAGGTTGTGTAACAATGCCTGCAACCTAGACCAAGCTGTATGAGAGGTTCATCACAGAAAGCTTCCCATTGCGATAGAAGCAGCAAAAACATCACAAACGATTCAACCATCACCTTGTAGCCGACTTCAAACCATCACAGAATTTTCAGCACAAAGCTTTGTTTGTTTGGGAAGGACCACTATTAACCATACGAAATTGAGCCTCGACAACAAAGGTGCCACTTATGCCGCCTAAAATTACCGTAAAACTTAACAAAACAGAAGAAAAAACAAGAAAGTCTTCAACTTTTCACCGCCATTTTTCACACTCAACGAGATCCGGGGAGCAACATATGCAAATTTTATCATTTTCCAAGATAAACAACTCCAAACTCAATGGCAAGAATCAAAACTAAAACTAAAACAATCTAATATCCTCAACAAAACTACATTCCGATGCATGGACCACGATATTTGCCCTAAATCAGGGGGAAAAAAAGAAGACAATAAATCCAATTGCATTGATTCAGAGGGGCGAACAAACACAATTAACCGTTGTGTACCTCAAAGGAAGAGTTGGATGCAGAAGACGCATCGAGAAGAGCTTCAAGAACATTCACCGAGACCTAATTACACAGAAAACCATTTTCGAATCAGAACGATACATACACATAAAACTATATATGGGTCTATACGCGAGCGAAAAATCTCACCTGAGGAGAGCCCAAGAAGACAAGAGATTTCTTCTTGGAAGAGGGAGCAATAGAAGAAGGAGAAGAGACATTGAAGCAGACGAAACGACGTAGTATAAGTGTCGAATTCATTCTTCTTCCTCCTCTCGCTGCAACGGCTTCGAATGCTGGATTCTGACACGGAGACCAATGACGATAGACTTCCGGTTTTCGTGGGCTGGGCCTCACCCGTTCATACGAGTGGATATATAACCTTGAGACCCATATTCAAGTTCAAAACGAAATCGATGTAAATTAAATAATTAATAATTTTATCCAAATCAAATCTGATTTACAAATGTACGGATATAAAAATTGCATTCCAATACAAATATAATAAAAAATAAAAAAGATTTGTTTAAAAATAAATATTTTATATTAACAAATTCGAACAGAATATAAGTTGAACTAATCGAAATTAAGTGACATATTTTATGTCGAATCTAGAGATGGGTAAAAAAATTTATCTAGGAAAATAATCAATTAAAGAAATTTTATTTACCAACAAAAATCTGCGTTTCAGATACAAAACATAACACGTATATATAGAAACATTTTCACTAAGTTGGTGAAGGAATTAAAAAAAAAAAAACAAAAACATACGGATTACAACACCCTCTGTTACTGTCAGAGGGTCTGAATGTTCTGCACAATGACAACGATTATGCGATTAAGGTTTAGTAAACAAAACACAAAGCATCTTCCGAAATGCATCGTTCATCATCGCTATCTCTACCACCTCACCGAATGCTTTGTCACTACCAAAACACATGCGATAATAATCACCAGAAAACGCTAATTAATCTAAAATAATATCGTTCGCAAAAAAGAAAAACATTTGTTGCCACCCGTTTCATACAAAAGATTCACGACAACCAGACGTCACGTCAGGACGACAGATTCGAATGTCTAACTTCATATGGCCACCAGCTATACGGACCAGATAGGTAGGAAACAACACGAAATCCTTGTCCGGAGGCTGATCTGTCACTTTCTGAACTCTCGTCACCGATGCAGTTGCTTCAATGCAGTAGCGGCTGACGCATGGCAAGTCGGTGAGAGTGTACGTGAACTCGCCTGCCCCCGGGATCGAAGGTGCAATACAACAAGCAGATACCAACTCTCCGTGGGGCAATCTGTGTCGTTGAACCACGATCGGTTCTCCATTTTTTTTATCCTCCTGCAGAACTACATTCCCATCGCCAAGTTCGATACTTAGGCGTTTGCCACACACAAACGGTAGTGCTCGTAAAGATCTTTATATTTCCCAGTGAATTCGCAGCCGCTTGAAGGGCACGGACATAGGGTGAAGATACATTCTCTTTCGTGGGACGATCTTTCCCCATATGAGACGTTCCTCTTGCACCCCTGTTTAGCGTTTGCACATGGAATCCTAATCGATTCGATAACATCCTCCAGTGCCCTGTTCCGCAAGACGCCGATGGGAAAAGCGCAAGACGGGCATTTGTTCCTCATCTTGGTGCAGCAAGGAGAACAAGCCACATGACCATTGTCACACTGACGACAAAACTCCAATACGTATTTTAAATGCACACAGGAATAACCACAAAGCAAGATTTCACTTCCCTAGCTAAACATGCCAATCTTTAGCTGCTAGTCCAATAGAGAGGGTAGGGAACATATCAACCTTTCATTGTCTGGATAGTTGTCACTGGTCCGAGAAACCAAAACTAAATCTAAGATCATAACAATTTCAGATTTATATGGAAATATGCCACTATCATCTCCTACATTCCGTTTAATCCCTAAATTAGCCTGAGTTCTGTTTTAAGCAGAGTCTCACCTTCTCCATTTACTTCCATCATCGTTTTTCCGTAACGAACACTCTTTACCTAACGAATATCAGTGGTTAGAATCTTCTTCTCTCCCAGAGATCACAATGTCAGATCCAACAAGTCTGTGTTTGAAAACACAGAGACACAGGAGAGAAGAACCAGACCTGAAAGATGGGAGTCTCCAGTGGCTCGAAGCAAATGGAGCAATCGAGCAAACGCAGATCCATAAAGGTCTGGGTAAAGTTCGGAGGCTTCTCCGATGCCTCCCCTTCGCCGCCGTCATCTCCTGCTTCTTCTTGTGCTTCTGCTTCTACCTCTTCTTCGGCTGTAACTCCGATAGGTCGCAGCCTCTTTCTAGATGACCGATCGCCGTCGTCGGATCCATTAGCCATGGGGAATTCTCCGTCGATTGACTTGCTTGCTCACAGAGTGCGCTCGTCTCTCCCTTTTAAACGGACTGATTCATTGAATCACATCAAATGAATCAAATCTTCGGATTTCGAGCACCATCAATGAATGCCTGAAGCGCAGAATAAGAGATACACTAGGTCATTATTATATCTTCGTGTGTCAGTACACTAGATCACTTCTGGCTAGTCGTGTCAAAACGAGCACACTCGCGAGCCGAACAAACTGAAGAACAAACTGAGATAGTGAAGTACACTAGATCACCTGACTCAACGCGCTGTCTAAGATGTTCAACGAATTGATTTTTTTTAAAATAAATTAAATTTATATAAAAAAACTATAATATAATTTTATATTCTTTTTTTATATCATTCATATGATTATAAAAATATATTTATTATTATTATAATGGTGATAATTGAAAATATTAAATGATATTGGAGTTTTATTAATTTTTATGTATTTATTTAAATTTATAGTTAAATTTAGAATAAATATAAATAAAAAATATTATATATATCTCTTCAACGAGGCGATTCGTTCAGATTAAAAAACTGACGAGCGATCTGAGTCGAGGTTTTTCTGATGAGTCTAACGAGCTGAATTCAAAACGATCTGAACTAAATGAATCGAGCCTCAAACGATCCGATCCGAGGTGGCTCGTTTGACACCCTACTTTTGACTATACCCTTCAAAAATTAATTGCTTTTTAAAAAAACTCATATCACAAAAAGACCAAGCTATCCCTTATAAAATCATAAAAAAGATTCAATTATCCCTTATTTAATACACGCTTTCTCTCTCTTCTATTTATTCATTAATTTATTAATATTTTATTTATAATTTATTAAAATTTTGTCTCACCGCTCTCTTTCTCGATCATTTTTTGTCTTTCTTATTTTAATTTTTTTTTTCAATTTCTCTCTCTATTCTTTTTATGATGAATAATTTTCTTTCAAATTTTTTGTATTGTAAAACCTTCAATATACTCTTTATCACTCACTCATTCTTTTTCATTTTTTATAAACTCTAGTTTGATATAATTTTTATATAATTTAATTAACTATTTTCGAACTAAATAAAATAAACACATAATTGAAATTCAAAATATTCATCTTCATAATTTATTAATATTTTATCTATTCCGTCTCTTTTAAAATAATTTTTTTTTATCTTTATTATATTTAATTTTTTCTTCAATTTCACTCTTTATCTCTTTTTTTTATGATGAATAATTTTCGTTCAGATTTTTTGTATTGTATAATATTCAATCTACTCTCTATCAACCACTCACTTTTTTGTTATTTTTCATAAAATCTATTTGATAATTTTTATATAATTTAATTAACTATTCTCGAACTAAATAAATTTAAAACATAATTGAAAAAACTCAAAATATTCATCTTCATAATTTATTAATATTTTCTCTCTCCCCTCTCTTTTTCAATAATTTTTTTATCTTTATTATATTTAGTTTTTTCTTCAATTTCACTCTTTATCTTTTTTTTCTACGATGAATAATTTTCGTTCAGATTTTTTTGTATTGTATAACCTTCAATCTACTCTTTATCAATCACTCATTTTTTTTGTTATTTTTTCATAAACTCTAGTTTGATATAATTTTCACATAATTTAATTACTATTCTCGAACTAAATAAATTAAACACATAATTGAACTCAAAATATTTAGCTTTATCTGATACATCAATATAAATAAAAAGCAATATAAAATAACGATAAATGAAATAACTAATAAGTCATATAGTAAAAAATTCACATGATTACAAGATCGCATGGATCGACAAGATCACGCCGTTATAAAATTACATGGTCACAAACAAGGTGGACCTAGGATTATTTATAAGAAGGGGCAAAGTAATTTTTAACATTTTGAACTTGATACAGGGACATTTAACATTTTTATTTACAAAATTTATAAAACTTATAAAAAATTTAATTTTTTTTTAGTTTAAACAATGGGGGCAAAGTATCCCACTGTGGTTCCGTATGCCAATCGAACTGGTCCGGTCCTATAGAGATCGAGTTTGGGTTTGGACTGGGTCGGACCGCTTTTGCCTGCTAAAAATGTTATTTGAAATTTATTTTTCTATTATCTTTTTTTTAAAAAAATAATCGGGCTTTGGCCGGCCTGTAGCCCGACCTGAACTCGGTCCGAAAATCCAAAAATTTTGGATCTAAATATCTCGACCCCAAATCCGCTATTTTCAAGGCCGGCCAAGTTTACCCTAACTATAGTATATGAGTGTATCACTGGTTACAAAGTCGCACATATCATATTAAATTTAATTTATAAACTTACTTATGTTTCTATTAAATTTAATTTGATTTGAATTGATCGATAAATGTTCCTAAAAACAATATTTTTCAGTTGAATCCAAATTTTATTTTAAAAGCCACATTCATTCCATTTTTATACAAGATCCAAATACGGTTACACTATTGGATTTGGAATATTTAACATATATAAAAGTCAAGTTTTAGCCGACCGGTCCCGGGCCAAGGGAGTTGGTTATACGCGGAGGCTAAAGGCCACGTGGAACTCCTATATAAAAGATATCATTTTATTTGACGATCTTACCGCGCAATATTACACCTACGAAAAAAACAGAGAGCTCAAAATGGCAAAATCCCAAATCCTTAAACACCAAATCACAGAACACAGAAGAGAGATTCAAGGATCCAAATCATACAAATAATTTAGATTTTTTTTTAAAAAACCTGCACTAGGCATTGTAGCAAAAGCCATTTCAAGGGTAGTTACTTAAGTTTATCATATAGTTAAATAATAACCCCGACCGGCAGACAAAATTAGAAGCTGTTCCAAAGCATTTAACCGCGGCTGATACAAAGCCTCACCGTCTTCACACCCTTCCGACCATAAAACATATATGTAGGCACCAACATAAAACCCGCGTCCGGTGGGTCTATGCTCACTTTCTGTATTTTTTTCATTTTCGAATCAAACGTCAGAATGGTTTCTCGTTCTCCGTCTAAAATGCTCGTCTCGAGGTTGTACGAGAACTCACCGACCCCTCGGACCAGAGGGGAAATACAGCTTACGCTCACACGCAAATCATTCGCCACCGGAAAACTCTGAAGCACGACCAGCTCACCCTCTTTCTCTTCCTCAAACACTTTCATCTCGTTATGATTGATGCTCAGGCAGGTGTATTCGGGTTTCCCACACGAGATCCCTTTTAGGGAACGGCTATGTTCATCTCTGAAATGGCTGGTGAGCTGTTTGTACGGACCGCTGAAATTGCAGCCAAGGACTGGGCACGTGCATGAGATGAAAAGGCACTCCTTTCCATGAGAGGATCTCTCACCGTAGGCTAATATCTTCTTGCATCCATACCTGGTGTTTGGGCACGGCAATCTGATCGTTTCTAGCAGTCTCTCCATTGCTCTGCACCGGTAGTTACCAATGGGCATAGCGCAGGACGGGCATTTATGCCGCAACTTGGTGCAGCAAGAAGCACAAGCAATGTGCCCACTGTCACACTACACACAAAACAATCATGGAATCATCACAAACAATTCTATGGCATACATTCGCTACGAATATATATATACTAGCAAGGATGTTCTTACGTTTCCATGTGAAACATAACAATGCGTGAAGGGAAAGATTACTTAACACTACAGAAACTGCACGACCAGTCAAAGAATCTGAAATGGAATCCAAGCCCGAGTAATATTATCAGCTGGCTGTTCATGTCATTCATATAACGATGACAAAAATGAATTTCTGAGTTTGTCTTTCTCCATGCACTATTCCCATTTTCCCAAAAGGCGGAAATAATTCTTTGCGAATCAGACAAAAATGAATTTCTGAGTTTGTTCTTGTTCAATCCGGGACAAGGACCATACCTGAAATATAGGGATTCCAAGTGGCTCGTAGCAAACGCCGCAATCCAGAACATCTGGCTCCGTAAGCGTCACGGCAAGGGACGATTCTCCACCGTTCACCGATTTCCCCTCCGGCGTCGCCTCTTCTCCAACTCTTGTTTCATTCTCGTCTTCTCGGCGACGGTTAGGCGTCTCTTCGTCTTCCCCTGCATCACCGTCTTCATCCTCTTGCTCCTCCCCCTCCTCCTCTTCTTCTCCGTCTTCTTCGTCTTCTTCCTCTTCTCCTAGTTCTTCTTCTTCTCCTTCTACAACTTCCTCCTCCTCTTCTTTTTCTTCCTCGAATGCAACTCCGACAACGGACTGAAGTCGCGGCTTCTTTCTGGACGGACGATCACCGTCGCCATCGACGGCTCCAGAAACGGGGGTTCCACTTTGAGCCATCTGCAGTCCTCCGACGATAGAGCTACTACTTGCTCACAGTGTCCGCTCGTCTCTCCCTTTTAACCCAAAGGATCGCGAATATATTGGGCCCATATGGACCTTGGTGAATATCCCATTATTTATTTATTTATTTATAATATAATGTCACAGCCAAAAAAAATGAACAAATTTATAAATAATCATTATAGAATTGAATCAAATCTATAATTTGATTAGTTCCAATTATTCGGTTCTAAAAATTACATATCAATCAATTATTATTTTCTATTCATTCGAATTTGTATTTTATAAAGAAAAATTAATAATTTTTAGGCTTTTTCGATTTTTTTAATATTTAGTTTGTTTGTGAGATATTTAGTTTATTAAAAATATTATCGTTCGGAACCGAACCGAAACTCTGAGCCCTAATATCGTAGAGTTGCTTTTCCTGCGTCCCGACACTAATAATCATTTCAGATTTTGGTTGATTTGATTATATTTATAATCAAGCTTTTTAGTTTCTAAAAAATTAATTTGATTTTATATTTGAATTTTAAGGAAAAAACATTTGTCAAATATTTCAGTACATTATTTTTTTTCCAATTAAATCTTCTACTACGTCATCACAACATAAATACACCTATTACCCATGCTCCATGCACCGTGTCATTTGACCGACTGTGACACCTAAGCGGTCACGTCATCCAAAGCTCACACGTTATATTTTTATTAAAAAAATAAAAAAATATCATGCATACATATATACATAAAAATAATAATAAGTAAAAATAATAAAAATAAAAATTTACAATGTTCCTATATGTATATAAATACATACATATATACATATGCATAACACACATGCACGTACGTAGATACACATTCTATACGTACGTGTATATATACGTATATATACATACATAAATATATATATATATATACACATACATTCATACAAACACTGTATGTATCTATGTATATAATATAATTAATATAAGAGTGGAGAAGCAAAAGAGAAAAAAGAACAATTTTATAAATAGTCATTACAGGAAGTTCATCTGTCAACTACTATTGGAAATAGGAATCAAAATAAATTTCGAGTGGAGTGAACCAAATCTTTGGATTTCCATAATATTAATAATAAAAACAGAAGAAGCTGCAGTCGATGTAGTTAATAGGGTAGGGTGGTCTACGTGCCGACTCATAATAATCTTAATAATCATTTCAGATTTTATTTAGAATCCTATTTGTTTTTATTTAATTCGAATTCAATTGTTTTTTTTTATAAGAGATCGAGATCGGGTTGAATTTTATTGATTAAAATATTCACTTTTCTAAAAAGATAGTTATTTTGAAATGAATCATCTTGATAGTCTATTTAGATTGATTATCGCACTCGATTAAAATACGATTATACATATTTCAATTTAAGGATCCAAAATATACAAAATAGTCAGATTAAAAAAAAAAACTGCATTAGAAATTGTAGCAAAAGTCATTTCAAGGTTGCTTTGGTTTATCATCCTTAGACAATAATCCGACCGGCAGAGACATAACTTAAAAGACTTAAAGTTCTTCCAAAGCATTCAACTGCGGCTGATGCAAATCCTCACCGTCTTCACACCTTTACTGCCAATGCCATAAAACATATATGAAGGAATCAACATAAAGCATTCAACAGGCGGCTCCATGCTTACTTCCTGTATATTTCTCATCTTCGAATCAAACGTCAGAGTGGTTTCTCCCTCTCCCTCTAACCTCGTTTCGAGGGTGTACGAGAACTCGCCGACCCCTCGTACCGGAGGGGCAATACAGCTTACGCTCACACGCAAATCATTTGCCACCAGAAAACTTTGAATTACGATCAGCACACCCTCTTTCTCTTCCTCAAACACTTCGGTCTCGTTATCATTGATGCTCAGGCAGACGTATTCTTCTTTCCCACGAGAGATCTTTCTTAGGATGTTTCTATGCTCATCTCTGAAATGAGTGTTGAGTTGTTTGTACGAACCCATGAAGTTGCAGTCCAGTGCTGGGCATGAACATGGGATGAAAAGGCACTCCTTTACATGAGATGAACCTTCGCCATAAACAAATTTCTTCGTGCAACCTTGTTTTGCGTTTGGGCAGGGCAATCTGATCGATTCTATCACTCTCTCCATGGCTCTGCATCGGAAGTAACCGATGGGCATAGTGCAAGACGGACATTTATGCCTCGACTTGGTGCAACAAGAAGCACAAGCAATGTGCCCATTATCACACTACATCCAAAACAAACACAGAGTTCATCATCATCAATTCTATGGCAATCCCAGATGTGTTCTAAGTGCACACATTCGCTTGGAATAGATATATTAGCAAGGATTTTCTTACTTTTCCAGTGAAACATAACCATACCGAAATTGCATGAACAGTCAAAGAATCTAAAATCAAATCCAAGCACGGATAAAATTATCAGCTGGCCGTCCATACAATTCATGGACGAACACCCCCGCCCATGTGCCCATTTTAGCTCAAGTCCTTCTACATGCACTATTCCACAAACCGGATCCGCCCATTTTCCCCAAAGGCAGAAAGATTTCATTATGAATCAGTACACTTACATGTTCTTGACAGACAAAAATGGGACTTAAATCCAGCTTTACCTAGAATTTCATTGTCTTCTGGCCAACATATATTCAAGAGATTACTGCATTACTAAAGCAATGGAACCCTAAGGTATCAAAATTTTTTTTAGTGAAAAATAACATTGTCATCTTAAATTAATCTGCTTCCTTAGTAAATAAACACGATCCCAAGTGTTATGTTCTGTCGTTCAACGTTCACTTCTATAACCATCTTTCCAAATCAGGCTCTTAACTAACGTCGTATCACTTATCAGTTGCTAGACACTTGAAACTAGAAATCAATACGAATTTCTGAGTTTGTTCTTCTTACAATCCGGAACAAGGACCATACCTGAAATATAGGGCTTTTCAGTGGCTCGTAGCAAACAGCGCAATCGAGAACGTCTGGGTCCGTAAGCATCACGGTTAAGGGCGATTCTCCACCGTTCACCGATTTTCCCTCCGGCGTCGCCTCTTCACCATCTCTATCATTACCCGAGGATGCTCGATCATTGAGCTCACCTTCCTCTTCGTCCTCTACATGACCATCGGAGATGGAAGATCTCCTCCTTTCATCCTCGCCTTCCCGGGAACTTCCGGCGTTTGGGTTTCCAGTGATTTCTGCTTCATTTTCGACGATCGAGGCACGTTTTAGTCTCTTCCAAGATCGACGATCGCTCGATTCTTCTCCGTTACCGCCTCCAGAAACCGAGAATCTCACCATCCCCGATTGCTTCAAAATTTCAACAATTTTCTCTGGTCCTTATCAATTTATATATAGGATATATTATATATATATAAAAAATATATTATATATAGGGTATATATGGGCTGAATAGTACACATTTGGGCCTATATGGGCCGCGTCCGTGGAAAAGAGGTTTTCCATTCGCTGACGGTTACGAAACGAACGCGACTGCAATCTAAATATGAATATTCGACTGTAAAACAAGTTTCGGATATTTGGGAACGAATTTTTCTATTCCTTGAAAATAAATTTTAAGGAGTTGATTCGGATGACTCGAATACAAATCTATAATTTCAAAAGATTCCAAAATTCCAATATGATATCCTAAATTAGATTATATACATTTTACTCTTTTACTCTGTAATTGTGATATTTGAATTGGAATTATCCAAAACCAAATCAAATTATTGGATGTCTCTGCTATTTGATCCGATCGTACTAAGTATTCGAATTACGAAATGAATCACAAGGATTCAAAATTTGAATATACGACTAGATCGGATTGAAATTTTCGATTTTATCTGTCCTAATTCAAACCTTAAAAATTTAAACGTTGATATGTAGGAAAACAGTGTCCCCACAACCACGGTTCGATACTCACTTTTGGCATCACCGTTATAAAAAAAACCCTCAAACCTTAAGAGTTAGAGATGTGCACAAGCCAATATCGAATTTTGATACCAAATTTGTACCCAGGAGTCTTGGACCCCAATCCCAAAAATTGAGACACACATTAGCGACATATTTTTTAATATCATAATGATGACATTCTTGTAAATATTAATAATATATAAGGGTATAATAGACTTTTTATAAAACACGGATAGAGAATATTACTCAAATAACCCACTTGGGTCGCAGCAATTTCAGTGTACACCACCGAATTTTTTTTTTCAATTTTAACCCATTTTTTGGTTGGAAAAGTCCGAAATACCCTTTTCGTTTTATTTTTTGCGATCTTATTACGACTAACATATAACTGATATACAACTAAAATAAGACAGATGATTTTTTTACCACCTTTTTTAGAATCAATTGTAACTATATTTAGAATTAATTACGAAGTCGTAATAACGAAGTTGTTTTCGAACGGATAAAAATCGTGCATTTATTAAGGGTAATTTCGTCTTTTAAAAAAAAAAAAAAAAGGTGTTATGTTTTTTGTTGTGCACTCGTAAATTTGAGTAAAATTCCCCCACGGATAGCCGTTAGCGAATTCTTTATACCGAACTCGTTGGGAATTTGGGAATTTTGTGTGGATTATAGGTCATGTATCCCAGTTTTTGGATATCGAAATTCGCGGTTTGATTTCTGTTTGGTTTTTTCAGGTTTAAGATTATCCGACAACATCAGTCTCCTGTCCGAACTTCGGTCAAGGATCTGACAACTTTCCTGTGTGGAACTCATTCGATCCAGAGAGATTCCATCATCTGTTCGTCATCTATGGCGATTGCATCTCTCAATCACTCTGTTTCTTCCTCCTTTGCGATCCCCAAGTCCCTAATTCCTCATCAATTTCGCGAAACCCTAATCCTACGATTACAATCGCGTCGCTCGCACGAGCCAATTCGATGCTCAGCCACTACTTCCAACGGAAGCGAGGGCTTGAGAACCTGCAAGAATTGCAAAACCCAGTTCGATCCTCTTCTCAATCACCCTCGAGCTTGCAGATTCCACACCGCTCATTTCGGAGGTTAGATCTCTTTCTGGGTTTCTTTTGTTTTGACGAAATTCTGATCGATGATGTCATTTCGGAGTTCCGTTTTACGAAATTCGTGATCTGTATCTTTGAATTAGATGTGAAAATTGGGGGGAATCTGATGTTCTTATGGCGGAAGAAAGGTTCTGTTCTTGCACCTGTGGGTTTCTGTTCAATAGAATCATCTTCATTACAGTTGACCAAGATATCTGATTCTGTACTGAAAGTCTGAAATTATTTTCTTGAAAGCGATTCTTGTCTTGTTAGTCTTGAGACTTGTGATCAAATGCAGAGCAATGGAGCTCCGTTTTGCAAGTGAAATGCCATGGTTTTCCCAGGACGAGCTCTGTTTTTGTTCAGAAGAAAACATTTCGATTTTAGATTCTATAGGTTTCAGGCTCACTCACCAGTCGTATTCACTTTTCATCTGACTGATTCTATAGATTTCAAGCTCTGTTTTTGGCGGCTGATTCTTGGATCTAGTGAGCTGATATTAGGAGAATCTTTTGTAGCTAAGAGCTTAGGAAAGGAAAGGAACAATGGATCCCCTAAAGGGGATGTCGGAAAACTGTTTCAACTGGCTGCATCATCAGTTTCAGGACACAGTTTCGGTTTCTGTTGTCTGTGTTTTAGATATGCCAAAGCTTCTGGAAATCGTAGATATTGATGATATTAAAATGTTAATCTTTACTTTTTTTGCGATAAATTTTCCGGGGATTGAAGTCTTTTTAATGTCTTTTTGAGTACGATTTCAGGAGAGACGAAGAGGAAATTCGAGAGCGTATACAGCGGAGGCACGATGGAAACTCCGGATTCCGGGAAAGTTTTTCAGTATTGGCACTGTTGTGGATCCGAAGATCCCTTTGATCCCGGCTGTACTGCTTCTCCTCACGCTTCTTACGACGATTAAAGCATTCAGCATTGTGAGTTCAACAGCTCAGATTAGTGTAGTGATGGTTCTGAACTAGTCTGGGCCAGAACGAACCGGATCGAATCAAATCGAATAATATTCGATTCAAATTTGGTACAATTTTTGTAGAACCGAATGAATTATTCCGGAATCGAATCCGGTAAATAACGAATCGAAACCCGAATTATCCATCTTTATGTACAAATGTGTGTGTAAGTGTCAAATCTCAGTTCTTGTTTGGTACTTGTATAAAAAAAAATTAATTTCAAACCGAACCAATACTAAAACTGAATTGAACCAATTAACATTCGGTTATAGTTTGGTATAATTTTTATCAAATCGGATAAACTGTTCTTGAACCAAATCTGACAAATCGAAATCCGAAACCTCTGGCGTGGACACGACAGAAGAAGCAAAGGAGACATTGATCCCCATACAAACATATATATATGTATGTATATATATATATATATATGGACACGACAAAAGATGCGAAGGAGGCGTCTCTCCATATCGTAAGACCAAAGGAATAAATCAAAATTGAATGCAAAAGATACGAATTGAAGAAGAAGAGTAAAAGAAACAAGAAAGGAAAAGAATATGCTAAGACGTTCGGATTCAGGGAAAGATAAAGAGCATGAGACAAAAACGATTAAGAAAAAAAAAAGGTGAAACCTTTGTGTTTCTTTTCTTGCAGAGAATCCAAATTTTGTTCTTGCATCCTCTGTTACTTACATCTATCGTCATGGGCAAATCAATTTCCTTTGAAAAAAATTATTCTTTCTGGTTCTCTCTCTCTCTCTCTTCCTAACGTTAATTTTCTTGCATCAATTCCTTTCAGTTTTATTTTTCATGTACATTGTTTTAGCATTGTTGTAGTTTCTTTGGTGGGAATCTTTGTGATGGGAGATCATTTGGTATTGGAGGTTGACCGGTTAGATGCCGGTTTAGGGACACTAAACCGGTCAAAAGAACCGTCTCTGGCGCGGGTTAACGAAGACAGGTCAACTGAATCCGTGTTCGGCAGAGCAGGTTCTTATCAGAACAGATTAGTCCAGTGTCGGATTTGTCACGATGAAGATGAGGATTCCAACATGGAGACGCCTTGTTCTTGTTCCGGAAGCTTGAAGGTCCGGTTTAGTTTTGGTTATGTTGTACCGATACGTTAAACCAGACCCGGTCTATGCACTTTCTACTTCAAATTAGCATAACTTAATCAAATTTATAGATTCTTTATACGGTTTAATTGGTTATCTTAACTAGGATCATTCTATATGATTTCTTGAATGTTTTCTTTACCGGTTTCTGCAGTTTGCCCATCGGAAATGCATCCAGAGATGGTGCAACGAAAAGGGCGATACAGTCTGCGAGATTTGTCTTCAGGTTTCCACTCAAAACATCAACTTCTTTCACCACAAATCATCAGTTTCTTGATATGCTTCTCTGTTGAAAACCGATGAAATCGGTATTTTTTTTTCTTGCCTCGTTTCATGAACGTTATTCAATTGCAGCAATTCAAACACGGTTACACAGCTCCTCGAAAGCCCTTCTTTCATTATGCTGGAATCTCCACCAATTTCGGGTACTTCCCGAATGTTCTTTCGCCACCGAATAGCCTTCTTCTTCGATATTCTTGACCTTGAACGATATAGAATAAGCCTTTGGAGAACCCTTAACTTTCTTTTCTTTGTTTTGCAGGGAAGGTTGGGGAATGGAGGGACTGAACCTTCATAATTCTAACTTTATTCCTTGGTCTGCATTTGATCATGATTTTCTAAATCCCGATGATGATGAACTCTACTCAGTTCATAGCCCTCACAGCATCATTTGCTGCCGCGTAATTGCCCTACTCGTATGCTTCTTCTCTAATCTCTGAAACATACATACATATATACATATATAATACGTACATACATACAAACATGGCCTTGATCTCGGTGTTTTCAGACTTTTTAGCGTTCTCTCTTTGCCATGGTTCTGTGCAGTTTATCCTTCTGCTTTTCTTGCGTCACTTCTTACCCGTTATCCTAACCGGAACTGATGATTTCTCGCTAACCGTATTCACTGTAAGACTCGGGAAACATAACGTACATTACATATATAACGTCGTTGGATATGAAATCTCATGTACATTCTTCTTGCAGTTGCTGATACTGAGAACCGTAGGAATCTTTCTGCTGGCGTATCTCTTCGTCAAGGCGTTCACTTTCCTTTGCTGTCACCGAAACCGAAGGGTTAGTAGCTTCATAGGAAATTAATAGTTTTTGTAAAGATTGAAACTCGAAAACTGTTTTACTGAAACTGACATGATGTGTTACAATCTTTGAAAGCAGGATCTTGGATTCTCTGGCTTTACTTCAGAGGAAGAAACCGAACCGTCTCAGATGTCTGTGCCAGAACTACGTGCTGTCCCTGTAAACTGAAAACGCCGAGATTTGGACCAATATTTCTAAACTAATACAAATGTAAACTAATACAGAAACAGAAGGGGAGATGAATGTTACAACCTCTAGTGATATGGAAGTTTCACGTCTTCGCAGAAACAGAACAAAACTCTGAACTGAGTAACAGCTAACTGTCTTTGCTTGGTGTTGTGTCCTGAAGAATAACATAGTGTGCCATTGGAATCCGATATTGCGATCCTTAATGTATGTGTAAGCACTGATATTGTAATGGTTGTTGCATTTATATATAATTTCACAATATGTAATTTTATGATTATTTCCAGTTTATCAGATTAATACGCAATACAATATGTATGTAAGGACCCATCATAGGATCAAATATCCGCGATTAGTGACGAGTGCTCAGGTATCCACGGAGTACTTGCCTACGGAAGGGCGAGATCGCGACAGAGTCACGAAACCGTGAGGCTTTGAAAACAATGAGAGAACTGTTAGAGTTTGTGCCCAATATATAAGGAAGGTCAAACTTTCACTCTTAAACTAGTTTTTGTGGTGGAGTTAGGTCACAAACTATATCAATTGGTATTAAAGTCCAAATCTCTACACACCGGTGGCAGGCCGTTCTCTTACGGATATGCGGTCGACTCAGTGGATGTGGGATGGTCGGGATGTGACCGAGAAGCCGCCAGAGAGTTGGGCACAACGGAAGCGTGGTAGGCCCATAACACACAGGTTCTGGATGATAACCAAGCTCTGACCAATTGATACAATTTGAATCTTAACCCCACCATAAAAGCTAGTTTGAGAGTGAAAGTTTGACCCTCCTTATATATTGGTCTCAAATCCCTCTCTCCCACCGATGTGGTATTCTTATCAACAACTGCGAGGCAACGAAATCAGAAGAAAGACGTAAATAGCGCGAGTGGTGATGAGGCGAACATCGACCAATGACTGAGGTGTCGAATTCGGACAATTCCTGAGTTCCTGACACCGTACAGCCGTCCTCTTATTCGCTTTGATTGAGTACCCTAATTTCGGATACCAACACCCAATCCTAAACCCTAATCTATTATGCAATGTTTCACACGCATAAGTTTGTTGTCGAGTAAGATTCATAAGAACAAAAAGTAGCCAACAATAGTCTTCAACAGAATTGCATTCAAAGGAGCAAAGTCCAAAACCCTATTGAGAATCAAGAGTTCAATAACATCATAAACACATCTACCATTTCTGGGGTCAAAAAAAGATGAGAAAGTTTCATATAATCCCACAAGAAACGAAACCCGAATAATTGATTTCACTTCCGAAGGAAAGCAACCGTTGCAACTCGAGAACCCACCGATCCGCCAAACATGAACGTCGGGTATGTCCGGACATGGCTGAGGTACTTGAATGGAGGATCTTCTCTGGATAAGTTGGATTTTCTTACATTGAAACTCTCCACCTCTTCCACGAGCTCGTCTTTCGTGTTGTTGCACGATGTGATCACCTAACCCGAGGAAAGAAAACGAAATACGTATCAGCAACCACTCCAGTGTATTATGTTTAGAGCACGTATTCATCATATGTTATAGGCAAAATCTCATATAAACTCACGAACTTACTCAAAAATCATAGAACAAATCATGAACTTTTATGTTTGCAGATCAAAACACGAAATTGTTCCCATATCATGCGTTTTTCTGAACAAATATGGGAATTTCGCTACTTTATACACCTCAAATAATATTCTATGATGCACAAAAATGCTTATTTTACCAATACTCAAGCTAAATATATCAAAGTAGAGATGCTTACCAATATTCCACCGGAGGCAACCAGCTTGGAGACTGAATCCCAATACATGATTCTGGAACATAAAAATTGCTTTGGTTGATGAATTGATCATACCGGGATGCAACAAAGAATGCAACATGGGAGGCTATCGAGGGTAGATGCAGTAGATAAAAGAAATGGCTTTGTGGATACCTTTTTATGGGGCCGTCGGGATGTAAACCGATGGCATCTAAAGTTCCTTTATCCACGACAAGCTTGAACTGGCGATCCAATTTCGTCTCGAGGATATCATCAACCTGAAGATAATTTTCCGAAGAACAAGTGAACCGTAAGTTCCAAGCTTCGAACATCTAAATCTGTTCTCTGGATCATGTTCTTCTCTAAAACAGTCAATAACAGAAGTATAATAATTACAGCTCGAAAAACCAGTTCAGTTAGTTCAGACAGAAAATTTCAGGTTATTGACTACTAGAAGTAATTTTTGTCCATACATACACACATGTGACCAAACATATTCCATGCTTGATCAAAGATGGTTCTGATCTGTGGAAGAAATACGATAGACAGCAATTCACAATGCTAACAACATTCTATGGTGCAAGAATGTTTGACATGGAGCTTGAAAACGTTTTGGGTAATGGATTAAGAAACCGTAACAAGTACACTAAGCACAAAATAGAAAGTCGTACCAAGAAACTAATATTTGGTAGTCCATCTCGCTGAGCAAGATGTTGCGCGAGTTCTATTGCTCCTTCGCTATAATCAGTCCCGGTTAAATCAGAGAACCTGAACCAGAAAAGTGTAACGAGAACGAGATAATTAACTATTTACGAAAAGAGCAAACTATAAAGGTTCAACTGGTAAAATCATAAACCAATTAGTGCGCTTAACATGGATAAGCATCAAAGACCTCATTTTAACACAAACTGTACGAAGGGAATCATACGGGAAACTCTATAGAAGAGTTAACCAACAGATGTTTAAACGGTTTTATTATTTAACATGGATAAACGTGCTTCTTAACTTCTCAGGCTAACACACTGGCAATCCAGTAGTGTAAAATGAAGAACGAGACAAGATCATCCAAGCGATGGGATACGAAACTGATACTATACATATATATACTAAGACAGATACATTACACATCTAGTGCCAAAAGAACCGAACAAAATACTGAAACTTACCCCTGCTTAGCGAGCTCATGCAGTAGTAGGCCGTTTCCAGTACCAATGTCGAGGACATCCCAACTAGACAAATACTTGCTGCCTTGTTCATTCGCTTCTGCCTTGTTATCACTCGCAGAACTTGCCATGCCACGTTGAGAAATGCCAATGCACAAGTCTTTTGTCCAAGAAGCAACATTTTCCATTACATCATCTCCAAACCTAACATATGAAAAGGGGAAATGAAACAAAGAAAATCGGCTCTCATAAGAAGGTGAACCACAAGAAACAATGTCATAAAGAAGTGAGGGATCTTCGCCAAAGATTATTTCATGATCAAGGCAGGGGTCCACTGTGAGATCTTAAAGTTAATTTCTTTAACAAATATTTACAATCTAAAATAGCATAAATCTGGTAAAAACCCATCCACTTTTCCACCTTAAATGAACAAGAATTGAAAAGAACGATAAACGTGTTCACGAAAGGACTACCAGACTTCACCGGCATGACCATGCTCCCTGAAATTTGTCAACTCATCAGCGTATGCAGCGTCCCAATAGCTTTGAAGACCAAGCATTGACTGTACTCCATCAGCATCTGGCTCTTCCTTGTCGGAACTGTGTAACGGAATACCATTGTTGATCAATCAAGAAATGTCTAAACACTAGATCCGCCAAATTGCGAAAATCATCCTAAAAATCAAACATTGACAGGCTTCACTATTCTCGAATTCGACGTAACGCTCAAGAATCTCAAACGAAAAATTTCTGGATTACCCGCAAGCTCAACATAGTGATCTAAATTGCCCATGAATCAATTCATATCACCCGAATCTGAACCCATATCACTGAAAGCCAAACACTCAACTTGAGTTTAGACGTATCGAAGAAAACTAAATTTTCTCACTATGCCCAGTCATTTTCCCAGAAAGTATTACTGATTTCAAAGAAAAAGAGACTCAATTCATTTTTCGATAAAGTGCGAACTGATCTAAAAAAAAGAATGGAGCGAAATAAAAAAACCAGTAGCCGGAGGGATCTCGAAGGTTTCCGGAGGAGAGGGCCTCTGCAGCGTCGGCGTGACGCTGTTCATCGTCTAGAGTGCTCCCGTACTCGCTCTTGATCGACCACGAGTCCGCCGCAACAGACCGGTCGTCGTCAGACGCCTTGCGGAGGAGTCGTCTCCGATTCTTCCGGTGGCAATCGGATTCCCGCCGTCTGACACAAGGCTTGTGATCAAGGAGGAGGAACGATTTCGAGTATCTTCTATCGCAGGTGTGCGCGCCGAAGGGACAAGAGCCCCTCCCCCCCTCTTTCTTATTTACTTGTTCAAGCATGTTATTATAATTTTTTTTAAATATTAATATTTTTGTATTATTTTAATTTAGTTTACTGGTTAGATTTTAAAAATAAAATTTTAAACATACGAATATCATAAAACCTCCTCTATTTAAACAAACACGCCAATTAATTAATTTGTTGTGCTTCTTTAAAGGAATAAAGACTGAATAATCGAGATTCGAGACAGATAATGTTTGCTTCATAGCCTGAAAGCTATTTCCTTTTTCATGGTTTAAGCTTGAATTAATATTTAAATCTGGGCAAGTAAAATAGGAAAATGAGTTGAATTATTTTATTTTATTTTTATATAAATTTGGTAGCTATTGCATAATATTTTCATAATTGTCAAAAACTTTTAAAACGCTCAACCCCATAAGCCCATATACGGCCCAGTAAACTTTTAAACGTACAAGTATGGAAAGCCCAAACAGCCCAGCTTTGTTTGGCAATGACTTGCTTTGTTCCGGTTTAGTTTTTGTTCGGTATGATTGATTTGGTATGGTTGGATCCGGTTTGGTCTATGAATACATTAACAAGTGTGCAAATGCTCATCTAAAGTTGTTTTCTAATGACTGATATATAAACTTCAGCTTTTGTCTTTCACCGTGGAAGCAGATTTATTCTACATATATTTTGATGAATTACAAGAAAATTTGATAAACAAGAGTTTGAACGAAAATGGAAAAAAGGGTTCCTCAATCACATAGTAGCTGAACGCAAAACTAACGTGATTTCCGGTATTATTTAGTACAAAGACTACATATAGCTCAATAGACCTTTCGCTTAAGTAAGATGAAGTATTGCATATCCTTTTGGCACTTGAAGAAATCAATAGGGTCTTTGTTCAACTTCTTAGCAAATCGATCAAACAGTTCATCGACAACACCGCCTCCGAAATGTTCTTCTATGACTCCATGGAAGATGAGCGATGAAGTCGTTGCTTAGCGGCATATCCTCCATAGGATGCTTCACTTCTTCCATAATCTCAATGGTGAAACACCCATTTTGCTCTATCACCTCCTTCAATTCGCTAAATTGTGGGAAGTATACTGGCAAGTTGAAAGATTCCACCTTTTCCACGCTTGTTATCCCCTACGTCGATGCAAAACAAAAGAAAATAAAAACAGATTATACCACTTGGTCAACTTTAAATTGTAACATTGTATTGAGTTAAAACTTGTAGGTTTTGGTATCTACATGTTTCGCCTTATGGTATTGATTTTTCAAATAATATAAAAAGATATATTTGGCTGTATCGACCAACCTATAACGTCAAAACTGAGTAGAGAGAACAATTTTAAGTTTTCTTACCGATTTGGCCATATCGACCAAACAATCTTCGATCATTTCATGGACAACGCCTTTCCATGTCCGAATCATCTGTACACCATCGGGCAAACACTGTCCCAAAATGATCATCAATCCTCCAGGGACGAGTTCTTGAGCTCTAGCTTCAAAGAAAGCTCCCATGTCCTTCTTGAATTGTTTCTTGTAAGCTTCGGTCACTTCTTCAACTAGATTAGTACATTGGATATTTTTTTTCCAAGCTTGTGAGTTTTGGTTACAAACATCTTCAGGAGCTTCTGAGAGCCAGTGGATTGAGTAAGAAGTGTGTCCAATGTGAAGGCTGTTTCTTGGAAATACTCGGCCGAAAAAGGATCCGGGAACACCACATGCAAAAACTTCACGATCAATGTGATACCGAGGTAGGGTTTTGAAGAGGGTATTAAAGTCATTGTCGGATTGATCGTTGAAGAACACATGGAACTCGAGGTTTTCATGGTTGTTTCTATTGGTTTCGTCTTGTTGGTGTTTGAGTTTTATGGTTTGGATAATGTTTTCGATAACATCAAATGTGTTGGGTCCAACTGAACAAGCAAAATCCGCGATTCTGTAAGAATTTAGGTTAAATATTGAAGTTTCAAGATCGAGTTTTGCTAAAATGGCTTCTTTGGCGCTTGTTTTCACACTCTCTATTGCAGCTTTCTGAAAAGGTAGAGATTTGATATATGAATCCATAAGGATTATAATTAGATTCTATATACACCACAGTATCATCACTGGAATATAGATGGATAGCGATAATGTAATATTTTATAAAAACTTACTTGGTATGTAGATGTTCGAAGGTGGCGACCTTCAGCTGGAGACTCTGGCTCATTTAAAGGCTTCCGGTTTGAATAAAACCGGGTCGAGAAGAATTGGGAATTGGGGGTAAACCGGGACGGGTTTCTTAATCTGTTTTTCTAAACGGTGCGTTTTGGTTTTCTTCTCCAAGTTTTCAAGTCGTTATATAACAGAGGTTTGTTCTGTTATTAATGGCGATGAGACTTTTCTTTCTTCTTGGATCAGAGAGATTTTCTGGGTGAGGGTTAGGTTTTGTAATCTTCAATCATCTCTCAAAGTTGTAACAAAACGAGCCTAGTGGATTGTCGAGAACCTCCTCGGCCGAGACGTAGGATCCATTCACCGATCCGAACTCGTAAAACTGTGCGTGTCTTCTGTTCGTTTTTGTTCTTGAGCGCTTCGACGAAATCAGACGGAGTCGTGGGTTGACGCGAGTACAAGTGGTATCAGAGCCTGGTTCGAGGCTCAGGGAAGATTCACAAGGAAAGCAGTGAATCGAAGTTATATCAGCAGGTTCAGCTACAGATTGAAGAATCTAGTGATTTCGGTAAGAATCAGTATCTTGGAGAGATATCCAAGGTAAGCAGAACAAGCGAAGAAAAATGGCGTCCATTCCATCGATTGTCAGGTTAGATGTCGAAAAGTTTGACGGTAAGAGTGATTTCAACTTGTGGAAAATTAAGATCCTAGCAAGTTTGGAAATACTGAAGTTGGATGATGTTCTGGAAGAAAATTACCTCATCCAAGATCAGGCGCTGGATAAGGCGTCCAAGAAATTAGAGATCAAATCGCAAGGTTCTGAAGAGAAAATTGTAGATGATCTTACTACTCGGAAAGAAAAGAGTAGAAAGGTACGCAATCTGATTTTGTTATGCTTAACGGATCAGGTGATGCGTAAGGTTCAGAATGAACAGACAGCGGCGGAGATATGGAAGGTCCTTGAACGAGAGTTTCTCCAAAAGTCCGTCCCGAATCGATTCTACCTTAAACAAAAACTGTGCACGTTTAAGGTTGATGAGAGTAAGACTATGGATGAAAATATCGACAACCTTAGAAGACTGGTAACCGACCTAAACAATCTTCAAGTTGAAGTTTCGGAAGAAGATCAGGTGATGTACCTGCTAAACGGATTACCTGATCGCTATGAATCCTTACGCGATACACTAAAGTACTCACATCGAGAGAATATCAGTCTTGAGGAGGTTACATCAGCAATCTACTCTAAAGAACTTGAGTTCAAAGCAAAAGGAAAACCAGGAACATCAGAAGGATTGCTGGTAAAAGGGAGGCCTGACAAGAAACCTCAAAAGAAGCCGAAATCATCAAAAAGCAAGCCCAAGGAAAAATCAGAATCAGGGTGTTGGTTTTGTGGGAAAGAGGGACACAAGAAGAAAGACTGTCGAATCAGGAAAAGGTACCATGAAGAACATACAAAGAATTCAGGGGAAGTTGCAGCAATATCTGGAAATGAAGATGACTCCGAAGTTCTGGCAGTAACCGATGTTCACCCAACAGAGCAATGGATACTAGATTCAGGGTGTACATTCCATATGTCACCACAAAGGAGCTGGTTCATAAACATGGAAGAATCAGATCTTGGAAAAGTAATGATGGGAAACAGCGGGACATGTCAGATCAGAGGGATTGGAGACATAAAACTTCAATTATCAAATGGAGCAGTCAGAATCCTCAGCAAAGTACGGTACATTCCAGACCTAAAGAGAAACCTAATATCTTTGGGATCTCTCGATAAACAAGGCTGCAGTTTCAAATCTGAAGATGGAAAACTGGAGGTGATCAGGAACTCAAAACTGATCATGTCAGGAAAACTAGAAAACGGATTGTATGTTCTGAATGGTACAACAATAATAGCAGAGGCGCAAGTGACAGAAGTTGAAGATGAATCCATGATCTGGCATCAGCGTCTAGGACATATGAGCAACCAAGGACTTCAGATTCTGGCAAAGAAAGGGATACTGAACAAAGAAAAGATTCATGACATTGATTTCTGCGAGGATTGCATTCTCGGGAAAACAACCAGAACAAGTTTCAAGAAAGGTAAACATACCTCACAAAGTGTGCTAGAGTACGTTCATTCGGATCTGTGGGGTTCGCCAACAATTCAACCATCGTTAGGAGGAGCTCAGTATTTCGTGTCATTCATCGACGATTATTCCAGGAGAGTATGGATATACCTACTGAAAACAAAGGATGAAGCTTTCTCAAGGTTCCAAGAATGGAAGAAGCTGGTTGAGACTCAAACTGAAAAGAAGGTGAAGCATTTGCGAACCGACAATGGACTGGAGTTCTGCAACCAAAAGTTTGAACAATTTTGCAGGGAACATGGGATAATCAGACATCTAACATGCACGTATACACCACAGCAGAATGGTATTGCGGAAAGAATGAACAGAACTATTATGAACAAAGTCCGAAGCATGCTAAGTGAGTCAGGGCTCGGGCAAGATTTCTGGGCAGAAGCCGCTTCAACAGCCACTCACCTGATAAATAAATCCCCTTCAAGTGCCCTAGAGTTCAAAGCACCAGAGGAAGTCTGGTACAACCGTCCGGTATCATTAGAAAACTTGAGAAGATTTGGATGTATAGTATATATACATTCAAGTCAAGGTAAGCTCCTACCAAGAGCGAAAAAGGCAGTCTTTATAGGGTATCCCCAAGGAGTTAAAGGCTAT